CACACACACACACACACACACACTCACTGAAGTCAGTGGGAAAACTTCCATGGACTTCAATATGAGTAGGAGTCAGCCCTAAAAGTCAAATAAAATATGCAGGGTGAAATCGTGGCCCTACTGAAGTCAATAGAAATCTTGCTTACCAGCCCATCCCATACTAACCTGTTAACTGCTTAGTCTGTGCTTCCGCCAGGATAATTCCATTCTTATCAATGGCTTCCACTTTTACAGTGTGGACAGTGTTGGGAGTTAGTGAAGTAAGAATGCCTATAACAGGAACATCACTGAAATGCGCCAACAAAGAGTGGCCTACTGTGTTCCTGGGGGTTGCTGTGATTCTGTAGGAAACGGCTCCTGAAAACTTGGACCATCTGAGATAAATGTTTCTTGATGTCACATTATATATGGATATAGAGAAACCTACAAAAAATACCACCAATTTTAGTCTTTGAAACCTGAAATACACTACTGGGCAAACTGTTTGGACAAGACTCTTGAAAATGTTTAAGTAGCCTGATTTTCAGAGGGCAGGTATTCAACACTTTTTTGGAAATCAGGCCCCTTTAAGGGGCCTCAAGAAGGGTACCCAAAATAATCTCTTTTGAAAATTAAACTTTGCATTAAATTATAATTGAAATAATTTTTCTGCTCATTTCTATCACCCATTATACACTGTAGTGTACAGTGTCGCCAGCTCTCATGATAATATTGCAAGTCTCACAATAATTGCTATTTTACTCAAGCTCCAGCTACTGGAGCTTTCTGAATATCTGAAAATCTCATCTTTCATTTAAAGAAGAGTTTCTAGCTCTCATAGTTGCAGAAAAAAAGTATGAAAATGTGACCCAAGTATATCCTAAGGCTTAAAAAACAGAAGGCAAATAAAAAGAAGCCAACATTTGGTGGCAGTTTTTTAAATCTCATGATTTTTAGAGGGCTGCCTCATGATTTTTTAACATCTGAGGTTGGAAATACTGCTATTATTTACATATGGCTTTTGTAATCTTGCAAATAGTGGGACTAATCCTACCACTCTGTGCATGGAAACCCCTCTGACATCAATGAGAGTTCCACACAAGAAGAGTTTGCACGATCAGGCTTGTGGTTTATAAAATCTCTGTGAAAAGAATACGGTATGCTGAAGTAATTGCCCAAATACTGTAAAAACATCAAGGAGTCCTTGTGGCACCTTAGAGACTAACAAATTTATTTGGGCATAAGCTTTCGTAGGCTAAAACCCACTTAATCAGATGCACGGAGTGGAAAATATCGTAGGCAGGTATAAATACACAGCACATGAAAAGATGGGAGTTGCCTTACCAAGAGAGGGTCAGTGCTAAAGAGCCAATTCAATTAAGGTGGAAGTGGTCTATTCACAACAGTTGACAAGAAATACCACTCTGAAACCTATCACCAAATACTGTAGTAACTTTATGGTAATATGTAATGGTTAGGAATCTAGAATATTGTAATATATACTAATATGTACTGCCACAATGTATACTAAATGGATGACTTGTAAGAGCCCAATCCTGCGTTCCTTGCTCAGCCAAAACTCACACTGCAGTCATTAGGAGTCCTGGGTGCACAAAGAACGCAAGATTGAAGAAAGGGAAAAGGGAAATTGTGTGGCATATTTAATTTTTAAATCCAAACAAAAATTATGCTATTTTAAGAGGGCCAAAATATCAGAGAAGAGCATGCACACACTGAATAGATTGTGTAGATAGTGGGTATAGTCTGAGAAGGTACTGTTCAGTGCAAACTGAGTGTAGCCTTAGGTAAGTGTCATATTGTAAGAAGTATGTTAGAAAGTTTATGCAAATGTATAGTAGCATAGGTAACTATTTTTCAAATAAAGTTTTTTTTAATTATATCATATAAAGAAACATATGATTCTTTACATTTTGTAGTCTGATTTCATTTGAGTTAAAAAACTTCTGTTTGCAACATTACTAGAATTTAAAAATCAATTTGGATTAGTAATCAGAGATTTCTCTGTTCTTTAGTGTCCATCTAAAAATGAACTGGTAAAAATATCTTTTTAAGACTTTACCTGTATTAGCTGAAACAATCTGAAAAGAAAGATATAGAACATTAGAATCACAAATTGAAAAATTATTTTGGGAAAAGGGAGAACATTTAACTTTTAGCAGTAATAACAATGACTTCTTTAAAATTGTATTTTCTGAACATAGCTTACTAATGTGCAATTTTACTTATTTGTTCAGTTTATTTAAGCATGCAAAGGTATGTACAGTAGTAAGGTAAATCTACGAGGCTGTTACTAGTGAATTTAACATAGGTATGCAGTTCACATTACTATTTCATTACCCTCTCTGAATCTGGCCATTGATCCAGAAGGGAAAGTTTGCAGTTGCTGACAGACTTTGAAAGACACTGTGTTCTAAAAGTATAATGGCATAGTTTTTCTGTGGGTCTGTTACGAGCCTGGGAAAAAGTAATTGTATAACTCTTACAAAAATATAATAATCAAAAATAAGAATAAACATTTGATAAATAGGTTGCTTTTGGTTTATTTTTAAAAAGGACATGTCATTCTTAAAAATGTTTGAGAACAAAACTAAACTCACCATTTCAAGACTCATGAGGATAAATCCAATAAGTACCAAAGGTTTACCTTTTCCACTGCACATCTTGTCAGACAAAACTTTTATTCCACACTTTGCATCTGGATGTGATCAATCAGATACCCCATAAAGAGCAGTAATCACCTCACTATAGTTGTTGTTAAGACTCGTCTTTGAGACAGTGAAAACAAATATTTGTGTGTAGCTCCTCCTCCCCTTTTCCGGATGGCCTATAAGCAGCTGCAAGGAATATTTAGTGAAAGGAAGCATACTGCATCCAACTGAAAATGCAGAAAATGTTACATGGGAAGACGGTGTTCTGTTCTTTCCTCTGTTACACAGGTGCAATTCCCATATTGCACATATGTAACAGATTGCAAAATTGAGCCCAGTTTAAATAACTACGTTGGAATTTGGTCTTACTGGTTGAAGTTCACTACATATTGTGATACTATTTCTTCCAAATGCCATCTCTTTCTTTTTGTTCAGAATTATGCTTGGGTTTTGTTTCCTATTTTAATAGGAAAATGCCATACTATAGTTAATAATTTGAGGAAGTATCTTTCTTATACTTCTTTGTATGGTGCATACTGAAGTAGAAATTACTTTCAGTTTTAATGTCTCTAGTGTGGTTGGTACAGATGTTCATCTTTGGGTTTCCTTTTGTCTGCAGATTACACTGCTCTACAGCCAAAATGCTTCTGAAATAAATGTAGTC